CATTTTTGCGGTACCTTCCGCAGCCCCGAGGTTCGCAATGCCCTGTGCGCTGCCTGGCTTTGGTTAGCTTACTGCAGCCAGACGCCAAGCCCCTCCGCCAGAGCCGCGCGGATTCCGGCGCCCCTGCCCCTCCTACCCATCGCTCCCACCCATCGCTCAGCGCTCAGGGTCAGCAGCCGAGGGTCTTGGGGGGGAGGGGAGACGCCGGCTCACCGCGCCTGGAGCGGGGGCCCTGATCTGACCCGTGGGCGCCCGTTTCTGCTTCACCCCCGCCCCACCCCCAGCGCCCCGGGATGCCGTCTGGAGCGCGGATGCCCCACCAGGGGGCGCCCATGGGCCCCCCGGGCTCCCCGTACATGGGCAGCCCCGCCGTGCGACCCGGCCTGGCCCCCGCGGGCATGGAGCCCGCCCGCAAGCGAGCAGCGCCCCCGCCCGGGCAGAGCCAGGCACAGAGCCAGGGCCAGCCGGTGCCCACTGCCCCCGCGCGGAGCCGCAGGTGAGTGGGGGGCCCGGCGCGGAGGGGGCGTGCAGAGGCGGGCCCTCGGGACCCGCAGGGACCAGGTGGGCGAGTAGCGGGGATTGGAAGGGGCGAGGAAGAATGATTAGCAGTGAGCGAGGCTTCCCGGGTGGGATGCCCTCTGGGGAGGTGGGCTTAGGGGACACCGGCCTGATTCTTTTGTGTGCCCACAGTAGAGCCAGGCTGCGACCCTCGGCAGCTAGTACCGCTTCCCTGCACGCTCCCCTCACCCTTCTCCTTGTCACCTGCTCAGTCCCTCTCTCCACCCATCAGGTTCTGGGTGATGCTTCAGTCTTTGGGGTGGGGGCGGGGCTTCCAATGGGACTGAGGGCAGATCTATAAGACTGTGTTGCCCGAAGTGTGGTTCTCCGCTGAGCCTTCCTGCCAGCCCCCCTCGGGCTGTTTCACAGCCACTCCAGATTTTCTCAATGGGACTCTCTGGCCATGGGGGTGGAGCTTGGGGATTTGCCCGGTGGGTAGATGGTCTATGTCCAGTCCCGCTCTTAATTCTTAGGCACTCTGGACCAGGTCTACTCCCAAGTCACCAGGGCCAGCCCATTTCCTTGCTTTCCTCCAGCACGTGGTGACACCCTCAAAACCCCTGCTGGCTCCTGGCAACAGCAGTGCTCCTCTGGGTCTCAGTATTTAGACAAATACACATGCTTTTTTTGCACAACAGATGGATTTCCATAAAAGGTGTAATATCAATTTTATCTCATTATTAAGTATTTTTTACACATCAGGGAAAATTCACACTTATAGGAATCCCATGATGAATTATGTTGCAAAGCGCATCGTCATCTATACAGCAAATGGTAATTCCCTGATTTATCTTGTATAAATGGAGAGTTACACATAGATAATCTGTTTAAAACAAATCAGACCTTTAATGAAATCTGCTTGTTAGCCTTCGATTTCTGCATAGGGAGGGGGCAGTGGTTGAAAACACCACACGGGGGCAGTATGGAGCTATTCGCTAGGCTGCGTTTTCATCTCTTGACCCGCCAAGGTTTTTTGGGGGAGTCAGAAGCAACAGTGGGTCAGAAAGAGCCCACATCCAGCTGCTACTACTACAGGCCTAGTCCATTTGGCCCCAGCCTGAAGTCATACCCACACAGGAGAGCATCCATGCACTTCTGGGCCCCTATGGCTGCAGTGTGTCCCTCACCCCGTTGCCAGGTAGGCCCCAGACATGAGCACCCCTTGCCCTCATCGTACTGTCTTCCAAGCCCAGGGTGGCTGGCTGGGAGGCAAGTCCCACCAGCTTCACACCATCACCTCCTGCTCCATGGATAGGAAGGAGGTCATCTCTCTCCCCTCTGAGCTTAGACCCTTTTGGACAGGGCACCCCCTGCTTTGCAGAAAAGGTCCTGAGAGCCTGGCTTCCCTCTCCTTTGTCCTCCCTGATCCCCACATTTCCTCCAACACTTCTGCAGCTCCCATCTTTGGAAGCACCGCCCCCACCCGCCAGTCCCTCCTAAGTCTAAATTTTTCTGTCCCTAAGGATGTGGCAGGGTGGAAGGGGCTCCCAAGCCAGAGAATATCGGATGGGGCACCCCTAAGTCCTGGGAGAGGACAGAGCACCAGTTCCACACACAACCGTCATAGCCCTTGGGCGGGCAGACAAGCGGGCTGTGGGAACCCCAGCCAGGCAGGCAGAGATGTCGGGATAATTTAGCAGGTGGCCTCGTTACTCCCAGATCTGTCGCCATGGTAACCTGGTTTTTTCTTTAAAAAATGTACAGTGCCAAGAGGAGGAAGATGGCTGACAAAATCCTCCCTCAAAGGGTGAGTGCCTTTCACAGCAGCCCCCAGCCCACCCCCAACCCTTTGCTGTTCCGCCCTCCTCTCCCCCAACCCAAGTTGCCTCCCCTCCCCTCTCAGAAGCAGAGATTCAGCGTTACAGTCACTTTCACTTTTTGTTTAAAAAAACTCATTAATAAGTGAGGCTCCCCAGGCCAGAGAGAGGGAGTGGGGTGCAGGGAAGCAGCAGAGCCACTGGGGCCAGAACACAGGGCTGAGGGTCAGCGGATTGGACCCAAGTGGTACTAAGACCTAAAGGTGTAGGCCCAGGAGGGGACAAGGGCTAGGGGATCAGAGGCTGCCAGTCAGAATGAAGGTGATAGAAGGTGGCCAGAGATCCTGGGCATCCTAAAGGGATCCAGGTCCAGATGGGTGTGAGGACAGCACAATTGGGACAGGTGCAGGGACTGAATGAGGTGCCAGCAGAGAAGCAAACACCACTGTCCAACTGTCTCAGGGACTGAGCCCTTACTAGGCACTTTGCGGGGCCCAGGGGAAGCCCAGCAGGTGTATGACGTGGAAAATGACAAGATGAGGAGACTAAAGGCTAGTGCTTGCTGGGCTCCACAGTTACTACCTCCTTTCCTGATGATGAAATGCATAGCTCTTCCTAAAGGGAGAGGCAATTGTTTTCCCTACACAGTGACGGCCCTACTGCTAGATAATGGCATTCTGAGAAGCGAGGCCCTGTTCCCACTATGAAAGCTCCATGCCCAGAAGTAGGATGGCTCCCCTCCACATCTTTTGTACGCTAGGATCACACAACATGCATACATTCCATGGTACAACCCTGGACTTAAGCCTCTGACTGCTGCCCTGTTCTTCCTTCTCCAGATTCGGGAGCTGGTCCCTGAGTCCCAGGCTTACATGGACCTCTTAGCGTTTGAGAGGAAACTGGATCAAACCATCATGAGGAAGCGGGTGGACATCCAGGAGGCTCTGAAGAGGCCCATGAAGGTGCCTTAGTTTGGGGGTAGGAAGGGGACTTTGAGTCGTGTGCCCAGGATGGCGAAGCAAGGTGGTCGGGGTGGGAGCACACAGCATTCGCTTGGTTCTACACTCTATTTCTACAGCAAAAGCGGAAGCTGCGTCTTTATATCTCCAACACTTTTAACCCTGCGAAGCCGGATGCTGAGGATTCCGATGGCAGCATTGCCTCCTGGGAGTTGCGGGTAGAGGGGAAGCTCCTGGATGATGTACGTCCCGGCGCAGGTCTCTCCAGGTGTCCTAGGGTGGGCATGGGCTGCACTGAGAACAGAACTAGGTGTCTGCACTAAGGGCTAGAGAGTCAGCCTGGGCCAGATCAGGGCAGGCCTAGAGACATTCGGGGTGCAGAGGGTTTCGTCTAAGCCCACTGCCCTATTTGCTGCCAACTTGGCCTTCTTCTGTCCCCCAGTCCCTGTTCTGCACCCACAGTCCCTGTTTCTCTCCCACAGCCCAGCAAACAGAAGCGGAAGTTCTCTTCTTTCTTCAAGAGTTTGGTCATCGAGCTGGACAAAGATCTTTATGGCCCTGACAACCACCTCGTTGAGGTAAGACCAAGATCCCCTCTGCCCTTGAACTGCCACCCTCCCACAGGCCAGAATCCCTGAAGAACCAGCCCAGATTTGGGTCAGGGACCACCCTAGTGTCCTGGGCCCCACCACTCCAGACAGGCCTTTGGGTGACCCAGCTCTTCTCTCCTGGACAGTGGCATCGGACACCCACGACCCAGGAGACGGATGGCTTCCAGGTGAAACGGCCCGGGGACCTGAGTGTGCGCTGCACGCTGCTCCTCATGCTGGACTACCAGGTCTGCACCTGCCATGCTGCCCCGCACATGTCACTTGAGGCCCTCAGGGCAGGCCTAGATCCCAAAGTGGTCCATCTTGACAGACCTCCCTCCCTTCCCAGCCCTGTCTTTCCCTCAATCAACACATCCCCCTAGTCCTGAATGGCCTGGCCCTGGGCTCCTTCCATTCTCTCCCTTTGATCTAACTTCCACAGTCCCCTTTTCCCAGCCTCCCCAGTTCAAACTGGATCCCCGCCTAGCACGGCTGCTGGGATTGCACACACAGAGCCGCTCAGCCATCGTTCAGGCCCTGTGGCAGTATGTGAAGACCAACAGGCTGCAAGACTCCCATGATAAGGAATACATCAATGGGGACAAGTATTTCCAGCAGGTAACCTCTCTCCTGAACCCAGGGATCTGGGGAGCAGGCAGAGTTCTCCAGCAGGGGAAGTACCTCTACCAAGGTAACTACCACCCTCCCTTCTAGATTCCTGAGTAGCAGAAGCAGTACAGAGTTATGGTCTTGGAGCCCAGAGACCAACCAGGATTCTAGTTCAGGCCCTACTGTGGATTAACTCTGTGCTGCAGCCAATCCATTTTAGCTCCCCCAAGTTAGGAAGACATGGAACCCTACAAAGCCAACTGCTTTCTGGAATGTAATATTCTTGGCACTTGGAGTTAGGATCCCCAGGTTCTAGTCCTGAGTCTGGACTCTGGGTAAGTGACTCAGAAATTCTGAACCTTGTTTCCTTATCTTTGAAGTGGAGTGACAATACCTGCCCCATCTACTTTCCTGGGCAGTTAGGGAAGGTCAAATTGCTGCAAAAGTGACTTGGCGAAATTCCATCAAAACAGAGAGTATTCTTATTAATGCATTTTAAAATAAATACGGCAGATAAACCTGAGGAGTAAAAATAGTAGTTGATATTTATTGGGCACTTACCATGTGCCAGGCACTGTTCCAAGCACTTTATGCGTATTAGTTCACCGACTTCTCACGACAACCCTGAAATAGGTATTGTTTTCATCCCCACTCTAGAGATGAAGACACTGAGGCCCGAGGTGTCAGCTTGCTCACGGTTGCATAGTGATGGGAGAGGCAGGACCGATACACAGACTGACCCAGGGCCTGCACTCTCAGCCTGCCCCACACTGACCCACCCCAGGCCTTGTCAGCCGGGCTGGTGGCTCCACCACCAGACCGGCCCAACTCCAATCCCATCCCCATGTGCACTGAGGAATCAGACTCGCTCTCAGCTTCTTGAGGCCTTTCTACAACAAAAGGATCTACAACTGCGTGATGATCTCTTTAAGAGAAGAGTGATCTCTCTCTCCCCAACTGTCTCGCTAGATTTTTGATTGTCCCCGGCTGAAGTTTTCTGAGATTCCCCAGCGCCTCACAGCCCTGCTACTGCCCCCTGACCCAATTGTCATCAACCATGTCATCAGGTGAGGTGGCCCCAGCTTGCTTCTCAGACCAGGGAATGATCTCATTCCTGCCTTCCCTGCCCCTCGCTCTCCTCCCACTCCCATATTTTCTCCCTCCCTGTTGGAGCTGCCCCCACCCCGGGGCCCTGGGGCCTCTATGGGGGCATCATGAACACCGAGGGCTGCACTTCCCTGGCAGCGTGGACCCTTCAGACCAGAAGAAGACGGCATGCTATGACATTGACGTGGAGGTGGAGGAGCCATTAAAGGGGCAGATGAGCAGCTTCCTCCTGTCCACAGCCAACCAGCAGGAGATCAGTGCTCTGGACAGTAAGGTGGGGCCCAAGCCCAGAGCCGGAGTGGGACATTAACCCAGGGATGATAAAGCAGACTTTACTGAGACTAGGGTGTGGTTGCAGATGAGCAGTCTGAGTTAAATAAAAAAAAGGAAAAGAAAAGCGAGCAGAGTGTGGGCCAGTGGGGCACACATGGCCCTTCCATGCTACTTGGGGTTGAACCTTATTCCAAATGTAGTTCTGCCCATCCCGTCCTCCCCTGGGACTTCGGAGGAATCAGGGGCTCTGAGAGGTTGTCTTTCACTGAAGAAAACCCCTCTCCCTCCCCTTCCCACCCGCCTCCTTTTCCCCTCCTCTCCCACATCACCACAGCCAGGTGGAAAGCATCTATCTTTCTACCTGCAGATCCATGAGACGATTGAGTCCATAAATCAGCTCAAGATCCAGAGGGACTTCATGCTAAGCTTCTCCAGGGACCCCAAAGGCTATGTCCAAGACCTGCTCCGCTCCCAGAGCCGGGACCTCAAGGTGAGAGGGAGACTCAGGGAGTACTGGAGTAGAAGACAAGCACATCAGGAAAGAGAGTAAACGTACTCCAGGGCAGGTGAGGGGATTCGGGGCTCAGGGCTGACCCCATGCTCCCTCCCAGGTGATGACAGATGTAGCTGGCAACCCCGAAGAGGAGCGCCGGGCTGAATTCTACCACCAGCCCTGGTCCCAGGAGGCCGTCAGTCGCTACTTCTACTGTAAGGTATGGAGGGTCCCTTGCCCTGAGGCTTCCCCCTCAACTCCGAGAGAAACCTCCCTGTTCAGCTTGTGGGCAGCCCTCGAAGCTCCCCACAGTAAAGCTTCACCACAACACCTGACCATGCAGCAGCCCCCCTGCTCCCAGATGCTCTTCCAGGGTGGGCAGTATCAGGAGGTGGGGTGGTCCTGATCACTCACCAGGAACACTGACACCTGCTCCTGCTCTCACTTCCTCTAAAGATCCAGCAGCGCAGGCAGGAGCTGGAGCAGTCGCTGGTTGTACGCAACACCTAGGAGCCCGGGAATAAGCAGCACGACGGACCTTCTGGCCGCACCCAGAGCTCCAGCGCTCCGCCCCAGGCTCTGGCATCACTCCTCTGCCGCTTTGGGGTGCAGGGCTGGATTAAAAGTTATTCATCTGACAGCAGCCATGTGGTCATTGGAAACTAGGGAGGGAAGGGGGAGGGAAAGTGGATGGGGAGGCAGTGGGTCCCTCTGGACAAACTCCCCACACCCTTCCCTTGGATTCTTCTCTTTACTCAGTTTTCCCTAGATCTAAAAACAGTTTAGCAGAAGACACGTTTAATAACATTATCATACTTTAAAAATACAGCAACAAGCTATCTGTGAACCACCTTGCCTTGCCCTTCCTGGGGCCGGGGGAAAGCAAAGCTGAGGAGGTTAGGGCCCTGAGAGGGGCTAAGTGCTATTGGCCTGCTCCTGCTCAAAGAGAGCCATGGCCAGCTGGGCACGGCCCCCCAGCCCCTCCAGGTTGCTGAGGCGGCAGCGGTGGTAGAGTTCCTCACTGAGCCGTGGGCTGCAGTCCCGCAGGGAGAACTTCTGCACCAGCCCTGGCTCTACGGCTCGAAAGAGGTGGAGCCCTGAGAACCGGAGGAAAACATCCATCACCTCCAGCCCCTCCAGGGCTTCCTCCTCTTCCTGGCCTGCCAGTTCACCTGCCAGCCTGGCTCGGGCCGCCAGGTAGTCAACGTTGTAGAAGCAGCCCTCCGCAGAAGCCTGCCGGTCAAATCTGCCCCCTGTAGGAGCCCCCCGGGAGGGGTCAGCACCAGGGGGGGAGGGGGGGTCAGGGCCAGCCCCCGGGGGCCCTGGGGGTGATCTCTGTGGTGACAAGGCCGGATTGAACTCCTGGAAATGGACTGGAAAGAAGGCCTGCCAGCCAGAGATGGCATTCATGCGACAGCGGTTGAGGACTTCGGGCCCAGGCCTGGTCCACACAGTGGTGAGGAAGAAGAGAGTGTCCACGGGGTGCTTCTTCGAGACTACGTCCATGAGTCGCACCTGGGAAGGGGCCTCTGCTCGCACGGCGAGCCAGGCCAGCCTCGTCCCAGGGTACCGTCGCTCTAACTCAGCTGCTACAGCCTTCACCCCAAGAAATGGGTCTGGAGCTCCACGGCCACCTTCTCGTGGCCCGTAGACCAGCAACAGGGTGAGCAACGCATGTTCTCGTGGCTCCAGGACATTGGCTGCAAAGGCCTCAAGGAAAGCCGGGGCTGCAGCAGCTTCAGCCACCAGGAGTGGTAGTACCAGCTGTACTCGGGTGGCCTCAGTGACATAGGGCATGGGGAGGATTTCCACCCGGCTCAGTGGCCGCAGCAGGCTGACCCTGCGAGCCAGGGCCCGCCGGTGCCCACGCTGAGTCACACATTCCAACAGTAGGTCCAGGGTGTACTCCATGCCCCGTGCCGGGTCGAAGCGCCGGTAGCCATTGAGCAGCCGCTGCTTTTGGAAGCGCAGACGGGGCTGATAGCGCCGATTGAGCTGCTCCAGGGCAGTCTCCAACGCATCACCTACGTCTGCCCTGCTGGCCCCCTGTAGTGGGCACTTCGGAGCCCCATCTGCACAAGAGAAGGTGTGCTGCTCTGTGAAGTAGTCCCAGCCCAGCACCTCAAAGCGAGAGTGTGGTGTGAAAGGAGCAGGGAGCCCAATGGGCCAGCTCAGCCCTGCCTCCCCTTCGGGGGTCAGCACCGTCAGGTTCCGGATCTGAGCCTGGGTTGGAGGGAATGTGCCTCATGTTAGTACCGGCTCCAGGACCCTACCCAGCTCCAGCTGCCTGGGCTCTGAGATTCAAATAGCTGAGCTCTGCCCTAACTCCATCAACAGTGAGGGGTCCCTTGCTAATCACTGAATCCCCTGTATGTTACTCTTCACCTCTAAAATGCAGATGGAATAGGAATCATATTCGCCTTACACAATTGCCATGAGAAAGAAGTGGAAAGTGTGCTTTTGCTCAGGTAAAAGTATCTTTAAATAGAAGCTCAACAGCCTTTCTCTTCCATACCCAAAGGACCTGCGTCCTCTTCATAATCAACCCTTGTTTTCATCTACACGCCACCTCTGCAAACCCCGACATTCAGCTTAAGAATTCTTCTACCTTCTACCCTTGGGCTTTCTTGGGACACTTCCAGAATTTTTGCCTCCTCAGTGGACAGGCACTATTGAGGAGGAGCTAAAACTATTCGGTCTGAGCACTGTGTGGAGTTTCTTGATCCTGAGTTTACTTACAAACCCCTTTAGCTGCATTCAAGTTGTCCTGGGAGCTTACCTTATGATTGCTTTGGACCCCCAAGGACCTTTATCCCTGTAGTTGTTATAAATTTCAGTGTGGTCAGCCTTTTCCTGCCCTGCCATTATACAGAGCCTAGCCCAGCCCCACTGCCAGCTGCTCACTCATTGTACGCCTGGACATCTCAGGCTCTCTCTGACCCTGTGACCGTGGTCCTCTGCCCACCTGCTCCTCTTCAGCTCACCTGCAGTTGTTCTATTTCACTGTAAGCCCGCTCCAACTCCAGAGCACTGAAGCGTTTGTGGAGTCGGTACATGAGGGTACCTTCGGAGACAGGGTGCACGGCGAAGGCACTCAGGAAAGCCGAGCTCCCTTCCTTCTCAGGGTCCCTATTTTTGGCCAGTTCAAATGAGCGATACTGCTGCCCCTAGAGGGACCAATCAGACCAATCAATTCCACACACAAGAGCTGCCAGTCCCAAACCACCCTTAACCATACTCAGTGTTCACATTCTGTTAGCACTGCTGTGTTAGAACAGAGGACAGAGGCACTCTTCACCACCTCCCTTAACCCCGGTTCTTTCACTGCCCGCATTTTAGAAAGTAGAAAGCAAGCAGGAAACTAAGGACACTCTCGGATACTCTCAGCACACTCCTTATGGGCTAGCCCCACTCTGCAAGGAGCAATCACAGAAATAAAATACTAAAAATAATAACAAGGATACTCTCCTCCCCCAAAGAATCCCATTGTTCTTCAAGGAAATGAAAGCCACAAGATAGAATATCTTCCCAATAATTTGGTTTGAGAGGATATGCCACCTCTGGGCTCTTCCACTCTTCTCCAGAACAACAAACGGGGAAGCCCTCTAGGCTGGAAAAGTGATCACCTCACTTCTCTGAGGAGTGGTCATCTCTAAGACATGCCCACATTGCCATGTCGGGGGAGGTGTGGAGTGCAAGGGGGCGGTGAGTAAGAGCACCCTTTGGTCTTGCTTAGGGGTCCCTAACAAGATACCACTTTTGATAGCCCTAGGTCCTCAGATTGCCTAAGTGAGCAACCGAGGGTCCACCGGGTGGCCAGTGGCCAGGAAAGGTGAACAATGGCCCCCGAGGGGCTACTGGAAGGAAGGCCAATCACTCATCCCCCACTAGCTTATCAGGGTCTGGGACTGACTTGAAAGAGCTGTCACCTGGTGTTGTGAGACACAGCCGATGCCCAGAGAGTCAATGAGGCAGCGTCCAAGCCACTCGTCAGGACGGGCACTGAGAATGTCTCCTCGGCAGCCATCCAGATGTGGCCGCAGACGAAGCAGGAGACTCCGTGACAACAGGTAGCCAAAGCCCCCATGACAGTACCGGGCCTGCTCGCCTGCACCAATGAACTCCTCCGCCCGGCCTAAGTATAGGTCTTGGTTGATGCTGAGGTGGCCAGCAAGGGCTGCCAGGCGGGGGGCCTGCACATATGTGTCATCCTGCATGATGAAGAACCAGTCGTAGTCGGCCCCAAAGTGTGTGTGAAGGTGGCGCAGGGTCTCTGACATGAGCCAGGCTGGCCGCTCATCCCCATGAGACACCACCTGCATCCCTGCTGGAGCCCGGGCTCCCCGCTGCCCAGTGAAGTAGAGTAACCGAGGGAAGTGATGGGCCACTGTACGGTTCACAGCGACAGCCAAAGTGGACAGTGTAGCTCGAGAGGTCAGGACAGCCACTAGCAACCGCTCACGGGAGCCCAGCTCTGTCTGGATGTACCGAGTCCTGTGGAGAGACCAGTGTGCCAGGGGTCAACTACCTCATCTTCAGGAACCCAGCTTATTCAGTATATACATCTCCCTCTAGGGGTGGGTGAGTTGGGGCTGAGAAGGGAGAAACTTCCTTCCTTGTCAATATTAATTAGGTTCTGAACTGAGTATCCACTAAGTAGCTGACACTGGAATTGATTTGGGAGGAGAGGGAGTCTACTAAGAATAGATTAGATGGGTTAGATGCAATTCCAACTCTGTTCAAGAACATCTAAGCCTAATTTAACACCAAAGAATGAGACTGTCTAAGATCTGAGAAGGAGAGAAAAAACAAAAACCATAATGGGAAATAAGACAGAATAGCTCCAAGTCACCTGACACCAATTGCCAATAGAAAGGCAGAAGCAAGAATTTACACCAGCCCAAAACAGGGCCAGTGTCTGGAGACTATGCACACACGTAGCTCTCACCTGAGCACCTTCTTGTAGGGCTTGTTGGGGTCCCTGTAGTAGGGGACAATCCGGGGTTTGAAGTCTTCATCAGTTTGGTCTAGCCGAGCTCTTGAATCTGGATTCTGTGGCCCTCCTCGCTCCCCTACAGCCTCCACACAGGGATCTTCTCCCTCCCCCTGGATCCAGGAAACCCGCAGGAGACTCAGGCTGCACCCCAGAGACAGCCCTAGGATGAGGGGAAGCGCTGGCCGCAGCAGAGCCAACAGGGAGCTCAGTCGCATGGTGGTAGGCCCTGCCATGTGGGTGCCCCACGGGGCACAACCTCAAGGATCAATGGATTGATGGGCACCAGGCCAGTGATAGGCCTGAAGTTTTAACCAGGGAACCTGGGGTCAATGAGGCCAACAACAGAGCAAGGCACACTGGCTTCCAGGCTCAGCATTCCCAAGAAGATTGACTGTCCTGTCTTCACAACTCCCTCTGCCTGGTCTTCAACTGTGAAGGTGCGGATCTAACCCCCAGCCCACACAGCAATACATGTAACAATCAATTTCACTCACACTGGGACTATGGTCTGTCTTCCAGTAGAAAGAGGAGGAAGTAAAACTAAATACCGCCAAAGCTAACCCAAAAAGGAGTACTATACACATCTGCAGACTGGGCCTAAGTCAACAGATGACAGCAAGCAATAAGAGGTTAGGGGAAAGCACACGATCCATCAAAAACAACAGCCCCCAACCAGAGGAGCCGGAGCCAGCCTCAGTGGGCCTTTCCTGAAGAATGCCTGGCTCTGGCACGGGTCTTCAGGCAGGCTACTGATGGGGCTGCTGAACCACCGCAGCAGGCTCAGCGGGCACAAGGGAAGGGGCCAGAGCCTCCTTCTACTCTGCTCGTCGCGTGAGGAGACGCAATGGCTACAGGAACCCCGCCTCCCACTCAGGAGCGGCCAGGAGCCACTCGCATGGCACACACAAGTTCTGCCCACCCGAATGAGCTAGACGGATCGATGACTCAGCACTGACAGCCTCTCAGGAGCGCCATGGCCGATGGAACCATCTTGCAGGGCATTCTCCTGGGAACCCCAGCTGCTGAGAGGAGACCGCAGGCAGGGACTGGAGCTCTTGCTGTGTGCCAGCGATTCGGTGCCTGGTTTTACCAGGGCCCCAGAGGCCAAACGAAACAAACCAAAAGCAAACAGAGAGGATTCTGAGAACGCAAACAGAAGCGCAGCCGGCTTCCGACAGGATCCCTGCCGGGGGCCCGGCGCCCCTGCTCTACCTCTCGGCGATCAGACACCAAGTCTAGCCCTAGAACGAAGGCCCGACGCGAGTCCTCGCCGTTCGTTTCAAAACAGAAATAAACTGGCCACGTCACCCGGCTGCTGAGAAGGGGGCTCGGGAGTCCGGCTCTGATCGTTCTGCGAGCCGGGGTCGGAGGTCGCGGCTGGGAGACTGAGGCACAGACCTCGTTCTCAGGCCCGTCGGCGGGAGCAGAGGCCGCGCCAGAGATAGCACCGAGGCAGCGAGCGCAGGACCAAGAGGGACGCCCAAGCCCCGCGGGGAGGAGGCCCGGGTTTCAGGGCCCAGGACCAGCGGACGCCGGATAAAGGGCGGCCGGGGGCTCTCGGCGTCCCGGGATGGGGCGGGGCGGGGCCGTGGGGACCAAGAGCGGCGTCCCGCGCGCGCCTGGCAGGGAGCAGGGACGGGGAAGGGGGAACAGACCCCAGTGCCCGCTGAGGCGCCGGCTCCGCCGCTGCAGCCGCTGCCACCTCACAGCCCTGGCCCGCAGCTTCCTCTTCCGCTGCCTGTCAGTCACCTGTCTCTATGGTGACCGCATCCGGCCGCTCGCTCCGCCCGCGCGCGCGCTCTCTATGGTCGCTCCCACAGCTTCCCCGCACCGCGCTCAGCCTCGGCTGGGATCCTGGTGGCTGGTCCCCAACTGGCCGCCCACCGGAAAGACGCTTGCGCCCCCACAGACGCGAATCCAGGCAAATCCCGACTGGACCAAAGATGCCCCGTAGCTTCGGCTGAACCCCATCTGCCCTGGAAAAAAACATGCCCCCACCCTCGGGAGTGTGCTTCTCCCAATTAGCTGGGGAAGAAGTTACCTAAGAAGTTACCTTTCAGTTACCTAAGAAGTGTTTGTTGTTTTCCAGGCACGTACGTCCATCTAAGGAAGCTAAGATCCGGGCATCTTCGTGAGTGCTGGGGAAATAAGTGGTGGACGAGATAGGCATGGTCCCTGCTCTCAGGAAACTGAGAGTTGAGGGAGACAGGCAATAAACACACTGACATAGCAAGAATAAAACGGGTAGAAATCCCAATCCATTGCAGAAAAGCACAGAGTCCTGTGGAAAAACTAAACAGTATTAAATTAGATTAGGAATTTGGCAATACTGAGATCCAAAGGGTCAGGAAGAGTCATCCAGACATGAAGTGGACAGTTTTCCAGGCAAAGAGCACTAGAATGTCCTAAGAGAGAAAACATTGGCTTAGAGAAGAACTGGGAAGGCCCAGGGCATCTTAGAGCCTGGTGCGGGAACAACCCAAGGCAAGTCTGGGGGACAGGGAACAGGAAGGGCCTTCGGACCACCACAGTGGTTCCCCAACCAGAATGGCACCCTCCCTAAGGAGCAATTTGCAAATGTACTGGGCAATTTTGTTATCAAATGATTGGGAGAGAGGGGCCAAGGAGGCTCCATGTCTTGCACATTGCAAGATGGTATCACACAAGAAAAACTGTCCTAGGCCTGCGCAGTGGCTCACACCTGTAATCCCAGCGCTTTGGGAGGCCGAGGTGGGTGGATCACCTGAGGCCAGGGCTTCAAGCCCAGCCTGGCCAACATGGTGAAACCCTGTCTCTACTAAAAGAAAACTGTGCTGATCCCACACAGCTTTCTCATGTCCTATTGAACATGTATATAGATTAAAAACAAAACAAAACAAAACTGGTTATAATCATCTGATGTGCCTGTGTCTTTTTTTTTTCTAGACGGAGTATCGCTCTGTTGCCCAGGCTAGAGTGCAGTGGTGCAATCTCGGCACACTGCAACCTCCTCCTCCCAGGTTCAAGCAATTCTCTGCCTCAGTGTCCCTAGTAGCTTGGATTACAGGCACCCGCCACCATGCCTGCCTAATTTTTGTATTTTTAGCAGAGATGGTGTTTTACCATGTTGGCCAGGCTGGTCTTGAACTCTTGACCTTGTGATCCACCCCCCTCGGCCTCCCAAAGTGCTAGGATTACAGGCATGAGCCACCAAGCCTGGCCGCCTGTGTCTTATATACAAAAAACAAAGTAATCTTTTAGGGGTGTGAAATGTGCTAATTTTTTTTTTTTTTTTTTTTTTTTTTTGGAGACAGAGTTTCGCTCTTGTTACCCAGTCTGGAGTGCAATGGCGCGATCTCGGCTCACCGCAACCTCCGCCTCCTGGGTTCAGGCAATTCTCCTGCCTCAGCCTCCTGAGTAGCTGGGATTACAGGCACGCGCTACCATGCCCAGCTAATTTTTTGTATTTTTAGTAGAGACGGGGTTTCACCATGTTGACCAGGATGGTCTCGATCTCTTGACCTCGTGATCCACCCGCCTCGGCCTCCCAAAGTGCTGGGATTACAGACTTGAGTCATCACGCCCGGCCAATGTGCTAAATTTTTAAGGAATGTAACCACCATGTTATCAGAAGGAAGATTATACTTTGATGTATTCAGGAATGTCCTAGGAGTTACTCACCATTTTGGAGAACAGTGTCACTGATGACAGTGTTATTCATGGCGTTCAGTCTGCATTTGCACTGTCACATTCAAGGTGCTCCTGTGCATAAATACAAGCATCTGACTAATTATGCTTTCTAGCATACTGAAATAAAATTGTTATCTTATTATAAAGTGTTTCCTTTTATTTCTTCCTTCTTATATGGTTCAGACACTATCATTGTTTTGAAATTATGTATGTAGTTAGGCTATATCATCTATGAACTTCACTTCAAAATAGTAAACAGGGGGTTATAAAAATGTTACTAAGGCCAGGCGCAGTGGCTCATGCCTGTAATCCCAGCACTTTGGGAGGCCCAGGCAGGCAGATCACCTAAGGTCAGGAGTTTGAGACTAGCCTGACCAACATGGAGAAAACCAGTCTCTACAAAAAATACAAAAAATTAGCCAGGCATGGTGGCACATACCTATAATCCCAGCTACTTGGGAGGCTGAGGTAGAAGAATTGCTTGAATCAGTGAGCCAAGATTGAGCCATTGCACTCCAGCCTGGGTAACAAGAGCGAAACTCTGTCTCAAAAAAATGTTATTGAAAGGGAACACTGGAGCTGGTAAAGTTAAGAACCACTCAAGAATATCTTGTATGTATATCTTATATACACCATTCTAGGAGTATTAAGATAGAACTCACTGATACATTAACCACCAGCACCCATTGTCCCTGTTTTAGTCTCATCCTTAGACTGCAACTGAATCTTTCCTCATCAACTGGTACGTGATAGGTGGTAAATGACTTGTTGGAAGAGACTCTGGGAAACAGCAGAGATAGCTAGCTCGAGGTCAGAAGATTTCTAGACTAACGCTGTCCAGTAGAAATCTAGTGTAAGAAACAGATGTGAGCCATATATATAGTTTAAAATTTTTTAGTAACCAAATTTTTTTTTTTTGAGAAACAGTTTCACTCTTGTTGCCCAAGCTGGAGTGTAATGGTGTGATCTCGGCTCACTGCAACCTCCACCTCCCAGGTTCAGGCAATTCTCCTGCCTCAGTCTCCTGAGTAGCTGGGATTACAGGTGCGTGACACCACGCCCGGCTAATTTTTTGTACTTTTACTAGAAACTGGGTTTCACCACATTAGCCAGGCTGGTCTTGAACTCCTGACGTCAGGTGATCTACCCGCTTTGGCCTCCCAAAGTGCTGAGATTACTGGCATGAGCCACTGCATCTAGCTAGTAACCACATTTTTTAGACTAAAAAAAAAAAAAAAAGATGAAATTAATTTTAATATTTTATTGTATTATTAGATACATCCAAAGGATTTCAACATGTAATTGATATGAAAAATTATTGATGAGATATTTTACATTCTTTTTGTCATACGGAAGCTTTGAATTCTGGTATTTTACACTTAACAACAAATCTCAATTCAGACTAGCCACATTTCGGGTGCTCCATAGCCACACGTGGCTGCAGGCTACTGTATTGAACAGTGCAGATCTAGAGTCTTTTCAGTTACTAAGTTCCTAGGTAATTCTCCAGCACTGACCTCCTGTGATTTTCTCAAATTTAGCCAGTCCTTTTCTCCTCTCTCTTTACTCACCTCCTTTTCTCTCCCATTTTCCCATTTCTCTTTCCCTGTTTCTTCTCCCCTCATCCTGAGTTCTTTTCTCTATCTAATCCCAGGGTGGAGTTGGCGCGGAGAGGGACAGTGGCTTACACCTGTAATACCAGTACTTCAGGAGGTCAAGGCAGGAGGATTTCTTGTGCCCGGGAGTTTGAGACCAGCCTGGGCAGCATAGGAAGATGCCATCTCTACACAAAATTTAAAAATTGTAGCGGGTGCAGTGGCTCATGCCTGGGACTGTAATCCTAGCACTCTGGGAGATCATTTGAACTCAGGAATTCCAGAATAGAGTGGGCAACGTGGAAAAACCTCATTCAAAAAACACAAAAATTAGCCTGGCATAATGGTGCTTGCCTATAGTCCCAGCTACTTGAGAGGCCAAGGTGAGAGGATCGCTTGAGCCCAGGAGGTCGAGGTTGCAGTGAGCCATGATTGCGCCACTGCACTCCAGCCTGGGCAACAGAGCTGCTTGTCACCTTAGTTTCCTCATCTGTAAAATGGTAATAATACTCACCTCAGAGGTTGTTGGGGGGATTTAATGTGATGGCGTAAATGAAAGAGCATAATAAACGTTCTCTGTAATTGTTCTTATTTTTAGAATGAGGCTGGGGAAGGAGAGGCATTATCATTCCTAGGAAGCACAGGCGCTTGACTCTGTTTTTTGTTGTTGTGTTTTGTTTTTTCAAACAGAATCTTGCTCTGTCACCCAGGTTGGAGTGCAGTGGTTTGATGTGGGCTTGCTACAGGCTTCACCTTCTGGGTAGCTGGGACCACAGGTGTGCGCTACCACACCGACTAATTTTTGTATTTTTTGTAGAGATGGGGCTTTGCCATGTTGCCAGGGCTGGTCTTGAACTCCTGAGCTCAAGGGATCCACCTGCCCGGGCCTCCCAAAGTGCTGGAATTACAGACGTAAGCCACTGCGCCCGGCCCAAATGAGTGCTTTTTATATGATCCACAATCAAATAACTCCTTTGCTTCATACAGAAGGGATTTACAGTCATTTAACTGTATTCTTTTTAAAACTATCATTCCCATTTTACAGAGAACATGTACTTTGCCCAAGGCCACACAATGAAGGGTAGACCTGGGGTTATACTCTTAATTATGCTATGCCAAGTGAGGTCTCCACCTAGGTACGCCAGCAGCACACTGGGAATACAGTCATGAGCCACCACGCCCAGCTCATGACTGTATTCCACACTGTAAACGTTGGTTACAGAGAACAAACAAAAATGTGTGGTTACAGCAGCACACATAAGTCACTTCTTTTAGGGCACTTAATGTCATAGTGTCAATGTCTGGTTTGTTTTGTTGTAGGGTCTAGCTCTGTCACCCAGTCTGGAGTACAGTGGTTTGATTATAGATCACTGCAGGCTTGAACTCTCCTCCCAAAGTGTTTGGATTACAGGCGTGAGCCACCACACCCAGCCTGTTTACTTATCACATGTTCCTTCTTCATTATGAACTCCTTGCGGTCAGGGAGT